ATCACATCGTAGTTTAGAGTCATTCCGCGGACTTTTAAAACATATTCAGCTTCTTTTTGTCCTTTGCGTTGAAGTTTGAGACCATATTGCTTTGCTCCTCCACAACAATATTCCAATATATTGTGAGAGGGGTACTCATCGGTTAAATCTCCCAGGTGAGGGCCCAAAGGAAGAGGACATAAGTTTGTAGGATGAGCAAAAATTAGGGAGTCGGTGTCTGTGTAGAGCAAAGAGCACCCAGGAGAACGAGCAACTTTTTGCATTGCTCGGAGCAAATGAATTCGCGCTGCTGAAGTTGTCCATAAGGAGATGACCACATTGGAGCAATTGTGCTCCTCAATCCAATCTTTCTTTTTGATGTAGGAGATGAGCAAAATATCTGGTGTGAGCTCATCTAAGCCAGTGATTTCAATTGATTTGTCGTTGTAGTATTTGTGTAACTCTGCTGGGTTGTCTGTGATAGCACATTGTGATAGCCCAAAATTCCTTAAAGAAAATCTCCCCCACAAATTATTCAACATTAATTTGGATTGAGTACGTTTCCCCTTATTTGGTCCCATCTTGCTCCTCTCTATATTAATTCCAAACTTCTCTTTGCACTCATTGATGAACCTCTCCTCCTCCTCATAATTCCCCTTCATAGAGCTATCAAATCCCGAAGAGTGAATTTTTGTTGCCATAAATTCACTAATGTATGGAGCAAACAATTTGTCGTCGGAGCTGTCATATTGTAAAACTCTGAACACCTTGGTGACGATGTAGCCTTCCTCTAGAGCCGCGTTTAATTCAAGCGATGTGCATGTACTCACCCATCCACGTTGCAGGTCTGAGTGCGGGCAGGAGTAATTTTCATTTACTCCTCCTTCAGGGTGCTCCCTAGCACATTGGGAGCAGAGAGGAAAGAGCAACCTCTCATCATCTTCTCCTACTTTCATTGGGAGCACAGGAATATCAATGCTCCTCGGAGGGATAACAAAGACTTTCAGAATAGCCAATCCAAAATTGTTATCCTCCGGCCTGCTCCAGTAAACATCTTCGTTGAGAATATGGACCTTTGGGTGTCCCACCGGATACTTTGTAGATACATTTATAAAAGGATACAAGGAGGTGACGTCATAATATGATATTTTCTCTCCATCTTTTGGTTTGTAGAAAAGTTGAAGTGGGCCAGTACGTCCTCCAAAGAAGCATGCACGTAGATCAATTGGGCCATTATCCAGATACTTTTTGAAGGAGCTCCTCATCTCTCTGTCTTTTTCCAACATGCTCCTAATTTCACACTCCCAAAAGACTTGCACTTTTACTCCTTGACTTTTGATGTACTCCATCCTCCTTGCATCCTTCTCCCTTTGTTTACCGGCTGAAATTCCATTAGGGAGGATAGTGTTGTCTTCCGGGTAGCATCGCTCACACCCATGCCACACACAACCATTCACCTCTATTCCTAATTGCTCCTCCTCAATCCAGCCATCCAACTTGTAATTCCCAACTTTTTTCTCCCCTCCATCTGAATGAGCAGTTTGAATTCTCACTCCATGCTCCTCCTCATACCATTTCATAAATTTCAGAGCAAGTCGGCTCTGATTATCCACATTATCGTAGCCTTTCTCAGGAACTAAAGCCAAGTGGTTTTCCTTCAAGTGATTTGTCCTGAAATGATTCATACAGGCAGAAGCTATGGTCATTGATTCCCTTAAAACGTCAATACCTCCGTGAGCTTTTGAAGACGCTGCTCTTTGATAAGGAGCTCTCTTTGTAACATCCATAAACTCGCGTCGAAATGCAATAAGAGCAGCTAGAAGAATTTCCACATCATTTGTACAATATGATGCCAGCTCCTCGTCCAAATAAAAAGGGAGCTCCTTGTGCTGAACATACCATCGATCAAATTCTTTTCTCTTCTCTGGCATCATCCCATCTGCGAAGTAGTCTGAGGGGATGGGAAACACCTCTTTTCCATAATTCTTTGGCTGATTGATGAGGTGGGGGAAGAAAGGTTTGTCCTCAACCTCGAGAGCAAAGGCTGGGACAAGAGATGCCAAAGACATTGGCATCAGGTTGAAACTGTCCCTGAAGATAAGCATATTCTTCTTCCCAATTTTCACTTTCATCTCATACATTTTATTTCCTCTCTTCAGCATTTCAGGAGTAAAACCCATAAGAAAGAGCTCCCGGAAAACTATTACCATATCAAACCTTCCTCCAAAATGTGAAAAGGCGATGGTGTCGTAGTCTGTTGTTAATTCGATTATCCATTTTACAAAGGAGATGATTGGATCCTCGGTGACTTTCTGTAGATCCACGCGTGTTCTGTAAAATGGGCGCTCCGAGAAGGTTACAAGTCTGTTGCTCCCACAGATCTTACACTGCTCCTGCTCCTCCTCAATACATTTGGGGCATGTTACTCTCGCTGCGATAAAGTTTGCTTGGTGATTTCTCTTGTTGTTTCCATCTGATACATGTTGCATGGTCTCCAGATCAAAAGCTACAAATCGGTAAGGCTTTTGCTCCTTGGGCTCCAAAGGCTTAATAAAGCATCCACGCTTTGGGTCGTGGTATCCTGAGCAAGTTGAACAATACCTCTCATTGCAAATGTGGCCGCTCCTGCCTCCTTTTGTATTGTCTTTTGTATCCCAAATTACTCCACACTTCTCACAGCGTTTGGACTGTTGACAAAATCGTGAACTCAGATGATGGTCGTAGCAATTTTCATTGTTAAAGCTCTTGGAGCACCCATTGCATTTTTTGGAAAAATTATTCCTAGGAGGGCAGGGGTAAAGTGGGCCAACACGTGAGCAATTTAGACAGTGTGCACGGCATGAAGCAGAATGTTGTTGTGGACGCTGATAAACTGTTTCACATTCCAAACAATAAGGTTGTCCAAAGAGCCCTCCTGTACTCGTAACACCATTAAAATGTGAGCCATCAAAATAGAGGAGCAATGGGGAATTATAATTGTTGGGACCATATTTGAAGCAGGGTTTGTAGTGCCCCAAAGAATCAAAAATGAAAACTTTAAAACAAAACTGGCCTGAATACATTCCATTCCAAAAGTCAACCACGGGAGGAACCCATTCCTCAGCGTTGTACTCCTCTCTACCAAGAGGAGCTCCAACTTGCTCCATCAGCTCCAGTGTCTCTCTCTTAAATTGTCCACATGATCCATACCTCCCATGTATATAGTCGTAAAATTGAGAACGAGACATGTTTCCAATAAGCCGCACAAGTGTTGCTAATAAAGAATAAAATAAACAATAACCATCGTTGTTGTTGATTTTGATGATATTCTTCTCCTTGATCTGGTGATGAATAGGAGCAATTTTTCGGGGAGCTCCTCCAATAATGTTACTCTCATTGACCAAATTCTTCTTATCAACAACCATAACATTAACTGAAAAGGGTTTTCCCCAAAGTGTAACTCCGGCCTGCTTTTTACTTTGAGAAACCTTATTAAATTGATTAAGCAGGGTATTAAAGGTGTTTTGTGATGAGGGCCTAAGGGGTATCCAAATATCGGAATCTAATAACTCACTTGTTACTGTGCAACTCAGCTCCTCCGGTTCAAGTCCATTGTTTCTTGCGTTGTTCATGGCTTCGTTGAAACAGTGCTGGAATATTCCTGATAATAAGGCCTCAGGGTCGGAAGGAATATTCTGAATAAGGAATTTTGTGTAATTTTTGGTGATTTTGAATTTATTGATGTATTTTGTAGTATTTTCAAGCTGCTCAATATATTGTAAAGCATCTCCTCCTAATTGATTGATAGAGAGGAGGTTATCAATAAAGAACGCTCTTGCGCGTTTTGTTGGAGGAATATAGTCCATTATTGAAAAAAGAGCTCGTGTGAGAAAAGAGCTCCTATGAAAAAAAGAGCAAAAATTTATGGGGAGCAAAAAGAGCTCCTATTGAAAATAGAGAAAATGAGGAGCAAATTAATAAATATTTTAAATTGTTTTTTTTTATTTTTAAAGTGAATACAAATGAGAAATAAATTTTAAAAATCGTTGTATTTATATGAAAGTTTTTGGCAAAACTTTTACTTTTGAAATATAGGCGGCATTTTCAAAGGGGTTTTAAAAGTTTAATTTGCATAAATTTAAGAAAAATAAATTTTTAAATTTTTTAAAATATAGGCGGCATCTTCAAAGAGGTTTTAATTTGCATAAATTTAAAATATCGGCAACATCAAAGAGAAAATAAAAAATTTAGAAATTCAATAAAAAGGGATTAAAGTTAAATTTTAATTAGGTCAAGGTCAATTATCTGAAAACTTGACAAAAGGTATTAAAAACAAAGGCAAAATTTTTAGGGAGAAAAAAAAAGACTAGGGATTGAAAATACAGAATTTTAAAAAATTATCAGCTATCACTTTAATTAACATAATCACTTTCACTATCATATCATTATTAACGATAAAAAACATAATAATCGAACTGTATAGTAATCACTTGATATATCAATCTGGGTAATCATTTCATTATTGATATGAAGTGGATTACAAGGTTTAATCTAGTAATATACGAATTCTCGACATTGAAGATTTGTAAATTGCTCATCTCTACTAATTAATCACTCATTCATTTCGTTCTACATGATTTCGTGTTATTGCCAGCCGCGACGTTAACCAGCTTATTACAAATTACCCACTCCCTCTTTTGGTTTCTCCTCTTTCTTTTGGGTGTCCACTTCTCTCTCTTTTATCGGACCCTCCTTCCCCACGACAGTGTCCACTCCCTTTGATCTTTACCGCTGCATTCCCTCTCCCTTTTGGTTTTTGTCGGACCCCTCCACCACTTGACGGGTAGTGGATTAGTAAAAAGCCACGACACCGACTGTGGGTTAACTACTAACAATTTAAATTGAAGGTTTTAAAAGTGAGCCTAACAATAAATGTTATTAAGTTAATTAAAGGATAAACATATAATTAATTGTTAAACGGCCATTTGTTCAAAAAAGATTGAAGATTAATTTAAAATAATTTTTTTTGAAGAAAATTTTGGTTTTGGCGGAAATTCTTTTTTTGACGGTCTTCACCCAAATCGAAATTCAATGGGAAATTCATCATTAAGACGTTCAATGCCTTCAGTAAATAATGATAATGAAAAAATAATAAATACTAAAGAAGAAAGAGGGGATAAACAACAATTAAATATAAACAACAGACATGCAAGTTTTTGTTTGGATACTGAAAGTTCTGAAAGAAAAGTAGTTGATGGATTGGGGGCTTTGGCTTTTGGTGGTGGAAATAAAAAAGAAAATAATAAATCTGAAAAAATGTTAGAGAATTTATTTATACAGTTGGGATATGACTAACACCCTTTACTTAATTAGGGCTGAATAACCGTTCCCCATAAATTAAATTGGATATTAAATAATGGATTTTGCTTTATCAGTTCCCTCACCCAATGCTCAATCATTTTTATGGAGGGGGGTTTTGTTTTATTAACTGAAGTTTACCTGGTATTGAGTGTATCTTTTGACTAGATTAGACTTAATAATAAGGTGAAAGAGATGTCTAGTTGAAACATTTCTCGTTATTTATCTTTGTCCTCCTACATAAGGACAATTAATTGGAGGGGGGTTAATTAAAATATTTTATCAAGTTTACATACCTTTACTCCCTTTAAGGTGAATTAATGGGGGGAATTAACGGTAATTCAATAGCTTTATTTTAAAATTTAGTCGTTGCACTTCTGCGCATTCCTTCTCTTCTTTAACTCCGTCTAGTTCTTCGGCTGTTTTTACAACTGATTTTTCTGACCATTCAAATGCAGCCCCGGCACTTGATACAAAACAAATTGAAGTTTTTTTTTAATTTTTTCTTTAAAACTTTCTTTACTTTTTTCAGTTTTTCCTCTCTAAACGTGAAGATAGTTTAACTACAATTACAACAACATTAAGTGATGAAATGGATAATTTAAATGAAAGTCAATCAAAACAAACAAATCCATCAACAAATATTCAGCAGCAACGATCTGTAAAAATTTAAAGAATTAATTAAAATTAGAGTAATTCACGGTTAAACCTCATTTTAAGATGTACAGTTTAGCTGATAAATCGTATATATTATAGTTATACGTTTCTTAAATAGAAGATATCCAATACACACTTTCTCCATGTGGCCTACAAAATTTTATAAATGTATCTCAAATATCTAGTAGGATATCTTGTATTGGGTGTATCTTGTATAGAGGTTTAATTGTATAGATATGTTTATGCTTTTACAAAAAATACATTCAAAATACCCTAAAATATCTTCTAAATAAATTTTATTTTTTTAAAGGTTGATCAACCCTTCCCTCCTCCTCTTTCTTCCATTTCTACTGTAAAAACAAGTGCAGGAGGAGGAAATAATATTTTGAGAAATTCACAAAAAATATTTCGAAGTGCAGATACTCGTTCTTCTATTTTTTCTGTTTCTTCATCTCTTGATTCTACAAAAGAAGAAAAAATTATTTCAAATTTTGAACACACAAAAACAAGTAATAGAGTTGTTGTACTCCCTAAACCTTCATATAATAACCAATTAACACGTCCTTCGTTGTATCCTGAAACTTCAAATGTTTTACTAACAAATGAAGAAGAAAAGATAATTGAAAGTAGTGGACGATCGGTGAGAAAATAAATTGTATATATAATAAATCCTTGTTAGTAACGACCCTCTCAAGAGCTTTCGATATCTCTCCGAACTCCCGATATCCCGTTAATCCCACAAAATTCATCTTTCTCATAATCCGATAGTAGATCCATATGGACGAGGAGAGAATGAGAGTGATGTAAAATGATTTAGGTGGATTAGGGGGATAACAGGGGATTAGAGGATTAAGTGTATATAGGTAAATTTGGATGGTTTGGAGGAGATATTGAGCGTTTAGGAGGTGCTTTTAACGATATCCCCTCAAAGCATCCCTTTAATTTCTCAAAATCTTTCGATATCCCCATAATCCCTCGTATTGCCGAGCTCTAATAATTAGACTTGAAATAATTGAAAAAATAGAATAGGTTGTAAATACCTATTTGGCATCTGACAAAAAAGGGATGGGGGGCTCTAATATAGAGGGTGGCTTTAATACAGAAAAAACGTTAAATTATTATTTTATTATTTTAAAGTGTTCTGCTGAACATCAACGAATTGGTTCAACTTCTCCCTTAGATCGTCGTCCTTCAATGGATTCAAATAACCGTAAACCTTCCAACTCTAATAGAGATAGTAATCCAACAGAATCAACATCAACAAATTTACATTTATCTTCTTGGCATTCAGTTTCTGACTTTCAAAATATAAACAAAATAAATAAAAATACAAATAAAGATTTACTTAAAACAATAACTTCTACTAATTCAATTAATAATCAATCAAATAATAATGAAATTTGGCGTTCACCCCCAACTAATAATAGACCACAATCACAGTCAGGCATTAGAAGAAGTAATTATTTGGGTGCAATTGTTTGGCAGGTATTTTAAATTTCCTTTTTTTGGGAAATTTTGTGGAATGAAAGATAAAGTTGGAACTGACAATCAGATACACTCTTGGGGCTGAAAAAATTGTATTTTATACTTGGAGATAGTAAGAAATTCTCTGGAGATTTATTGAAAAGAAACGGAGATTTACCAGAATCGAGGGAAGGAGGTTTAAAATGAAGGAAATTAATTGGGAAGGGGACCAATGAACAAAAGATACTCTTCTATTTATCCCTCTTTGAGATATCTCTTTTTACAAGAGAAATAATTGTTACGAGCATTAGGTTGTTGGATATACATAAATCTTCAAAGAACTATCGGGAATTTTAATATAATTTATTAAATAAATACTTAAGGTTGACGAGACAGTTTATTGTGGAGGTATAGAAGCAGCTCTAAATCAAAATTTATTGTGTCGTTTAAATATTGAATATATTGTTGATTTAAGTGGACATGAAGATGACCCAGCACTTGTAAATACGAGGCAAGTAAAATTAAAAAAAAATTTTTTCCCCAAAATTTTTTTCTTTTTTTAAAGACCCCGTTCAGAATATCCTTGTCTTTGTCCTAAAAGAACAGCACATTCGAGAATGACAATGTCTATTAAAATTAAAGATGATTCCCACCAACAAATGTTAAATAGAGATACGGTAATTTTATTGAGAGAGGCTAATTTTAAACTTTTAAAGAGACCTTCTATAAATGAAACAAAAGCTCAGGCACTTGAAAGAGAGGAAATAATTCATTATTTTGAGACATTAATTGATTTGATTAGAAAAGCAAGAATTTCACAAAAGTATGTAAAAAATACCGAAACTTCTCTAATAGAAACACACCCCTAAATAGAAGCACACCTTACGAAAGGTTCGAAAAATACAAGCACATGTGGTTCTATTAGAGAATTTACGGTATATACTGTTGGACTTTATTACAAAATACCCACAGACCCTTTATTTAAGATAAGATTCTTTTAAAATCTGTTTTGCACACTAGATAGGGAGGCTGGTTAATCGAGACCTCATTTAAGATACACCCCCATTTTTAAGACTTGAGGGGGTATCTTGCAGTGAGTAATGAAATTTATTTAAAATTTTATTTTTTTTATTTAAAGAAAAGTTTTAATTCATTCATTGAGAGGAAGAAATAGAGCACCTGCATTTGTGGCTGCATATTTAATGCATTGTAATAGAGTTACTAGAGTTAGGGCAATTAATAAAATTACAAAAATGGTTTGAAAATTAAATTAGAAAATTTTGAAAAAAATTATTTTCTAGATGAGTTCTAATAGACCTGGTATTTGTATTTCTGACACTTTACAAAAGGCTTTGATGCGTTGGTAATTAAATTTAAAAATTTTATTTTTAAATTTGTAAGGGGATTTACAGGCCACTATACCGCCGCCCAGTATACCGCGGGCCCATTATACCGCCGCCCATTATACCGCACGCCCAGTATACCGGCGCAAAATTTTTTTATAATTTTGGCGGGGATGTTGACAAGTGAGGGGGATGTTGACCCAATGATGGGGGATGTTGTTCAAACTTTCCCCGTTAACCAGACAACTTCCCCCGTTGACGGAACACTATCCCCCGTTGGCGGGACATCTTACCCCGTTGACGGGACAACTTACCCCGTTGACGGGACAACTTACCCCGTTGACGGAACATCCCCCGTTGACGGAACATCCCCCGTTGGTGGAACAACTTCCCCCGTTGACGGAACATCCCCCGTTGGCGGAACAACTTCCCCCGTTGACGGGACAACTTACCCCGTTGACGGAACATCCCCCGTTGGTGGAACAATATCCCCCGTTGACGGGACATCTTACCCCGTTGACGGAACATCCCCCGTTGGCGGAACAATATCCCCCGTTGGCGGAACAACTTCCCCCGTTGACGGAACACTATCCCCCGTTGGCGGAACAACTTCCCCCGTTGACGGGACAACTTACCCCGTTGACGGAACATCCCCTGTTGGCGGAACAATATCCCCCGTTGACGGGACAACTTACCCTGTTGACGGAACATCCCCCGTTGGCGGAACAATATCCCCCGTTGGCGGAACAACTTCCCCCGTTGGCGGAACAACTTCCCCCGTTGACGGAACACTATCCCCCGTTGGCGGAACACTATCCCCCATTGGTGGAACAACTTCCCCCGTTGGCGGAACAATATCCCCCGTTGGCGGAACAACTTCCCCCGTTGACGGAACACTATCCCCCGTTGGCGGAACAACTTCCTCCGTTGGGGATAGTAGTAGTTAATGTTAGATAAATTATTTTAAATAAAAAGTTGCATCACAAACATTCAAGTACGTCCCTTAAGTCTGGACTGGGGACCAGAGCTGCACGAAAATAAAATTTCGCTCTCAACGAAACAAAAACGAAAAAAATAAATTCGCCAATGTACGAAACGAAAACGAAACGAAAAAATAAATTTCATTTTCGCAGAACGAAAGAAACGAAAAAAATCTCAATTTTTACGAAACGAAACGAAACGAAAGAAATCAAAACTATAAAAATGCCTAAGTTATCGGCTAATTTTCTCGACTAATTCAACTTCAATGCCAAATTTACATTCAAAATGCCTATTTTAATGAAGGTGTGATAATTTTTTCCCATCGTTTCACTAGGAAGGATATAGATAAAGGATAAAGAGATTAAGAAGGATATAGATCCTTACAAATCGCCAATACACTCTCAATACATTAAACAGATACGGATAATATCGGGATAACCTGCAAAATTGGATTTCGATGGATATAGAGGGAGGCGAATTTGGAGGGATTAACAGAGATATTGTGGGATTTGGGTGTTTAAAAGGGATATTGGTGAATTTGGGATCATTCTATATTTAAAGAATATAGAATTATCTCTTCAGAACAATGGTTTTATCAGAGATTAAAAGGGAAATCAAAGATTTATCGTTCTAAGAAATTTTTCGGTAGGTGTAGGAAAACTTTTGCACCCCCGTGTATATCCCCTCCAATGCTCGATTTCCCTTTGATCTTTCATGATCTCATTAAACCAATGGAACTGAACCGAGTTATATACAAGGGGGCCAGTCCATTGATATCCTAAAATACAATCACTAAAGCCTAGACTTTTACTCCATTTTCAGCGCCGCAGGCGAAAATTTTGAGAATTCTTGATAATCAAACGGTAAACTCTCTTCATTTTTCAGCGCCGCAGGCAAAATTTTTTGAATTTTCAGTTCCTAGGAGAAAAATTTTCAATTTTTGACTTAAAAATACGACAAAATTTGTCTAAAAATATCGTATATTTTTTCGTCATTTTCGTTTAAAAATGGAGTTTACGAAACGAAAACGAAACGAAAAAATATTTTTAATGAAATACGAAACGAAAGAAAAGAAAAAATTTATTTTTAAACGAAACGCGAAACGAAACGAAAATCATCAAAAATCCACGAAAATCTACGAAAACGAAACGAAAAATTTTCGTGCAGCTCCGCTGGGGACATTGATTTTCCCCGGGATTCGGGCATGACGAAAACATCAATCTTTTCAAATTTAAGGCAAAGTATGCTTGGAATTCGTGCAGAAAGTTCCCGTTTAGACTCACAACAATTAAATAAATTATTTGAAGTTAAAAGAACTGCTTGGAATTAATAAGAATCTTTTTAACTCTTAGAGATTTTTTAAAATTTTAGAAATAATTCTATTTTCTGGAAAAGTATAAATACTTAAATAAAGCTTAAAAATGTTCTATAATACTATACAGTAAATATTTTAAATTTATCGTGAAGGAAAATAATTTTCCTTTTGTATTTCCAACCAGGGTTGTTTTTTCCAAAACACTAAAATAGGGCGCAGCCACTCAAAAAAGGGCAAAAATATGGCAAAATATAGGGAATTATTTTAAAAACACAAAAATAATTAAAATTTTAAATAAAAGGCTTTATTCCGCATATTCTCCACTAGTTTTAACTAAATAGAGCTGATCGGATGAAGCTATTTCTAATCAAATATATTTCTAAAATTCTAAATCGATAAAATATCGAAATTGAAAATAGTTTCAAAAATCTTTGAAATCGAAAGTTGACAGAAAAATAACCATGAAAATCAGAACCGCGAGTCTCTCGCTAACACTAATAATGCGCCTGTATTCTCCCTTTCAGCGCCGCAGGCGAAATTTTTTTCAAATTTTGATTTCCAAGAGGTCAGATTTCTTCCATTTTTTTCTGCGCCGTAGGTGAAAATTTTGGGAATTTTCATGTCCAAGAGTTAAATTTATTTGTGTGTTATTTACAAAATACCCGAAAATTTGAAAAATATTACAAAATGTTAAAAATAGAGCAAAATATGGCAAATGTATAAAATAGGGAAAAAATAGGGCGAAAAGATCAAAAATAGGGAAAATCTTCTATAAATAGGGTAAAAAAACAACCCTGTCTCCAACAGAATAAAGAATTGACGTTATTTTTAAATAAATTTCACTGATTATACATAAAAAAAACTTGGAAAATATTTATTTATTTAAATTAAAAAGAATGTACAGCCTGTTTCAATATTATAAGAAAATCTGACTCGACTAAAAAATTTCTGTACAAATATTTCTTTCAGAATTCCAGTGTTCCCTAAAAATCTTTTGTGCTTTTTATTTCAGATGGAAAATATTAAAAATTCCTGTAAAGATTTCAATAACGGTTAGAAAATAAAGAAAAATAAAACTATTTATTATTTTTTTCGCCAAAGAAAATCAACCAAAAATCAGCGGAAATTTTCAAAAATATATTTTTTAACCCCTTTAAGGCGCTTGTGTTTAACCCCTTTAAGGCGCTTGTGCAAAACTCCGCGCTTCGCGCGGAGTTTTGCGGCACACCCCTCGCGGGGAGTCTACGGGTGCTGAGTTCGTAACATAAACTTATGCCTATTTTAGCTTCGGTCGGCATGTTTGCTTCCTCCCCAGCAAGAAAATTCTGCACGTAGACCAAAGGTAAGGAGCTATAACAAATGCTCATAACTTTATCAAATCAAGTCGGAAAAAAATGTTTAAAAAAAATATTTTATTAAAAAATTTTCATTGGTTTTCAATTTAAAATAACCTCTGATCGTCTCATCAGGAATAAGCGGAAACATTGCAACATTACAATCATCTGCCATTGCTTTCTAAAAAATATTTTATTTAGTTGAAATTTTAGGTTTAAATATTTTTTAGAAATAAAATTTTTTCAATTTAAATAAACTTTAAATATATGTAAACTTACGATTCTGTCATACACTTGCTTTTGATAAACAAATCCCCCAGTTCTTGCACATCTCAGCTTATAAGCCAGCACTCGTTGAGTAGGATAAACCAGCTTAAAATATTAATTTAAGAGTGATACTGAAATTAAAAGTATAAAATATTAAAGTTATTTAATTAAACAGTGAAAATTTAATTAAGGTTTCAATAAACTCTACAATAACATTACTACTATTCTAAAAAGAAATATTACCTGGTTTCGTAAGGATCTTTTGATATTATATCTTTGTATATATTCTTGATCATAAAGTAAACCATTATTGCCCATAAAATATTCATCCTTAAAAATAAAAGTTAATGTAGCTATATAGTTATTTTAGCTGTTAAGTAATTCAAGGTAAGTAATTCAAGCCCAAACAAAAATCAAAAGGAACGGGTTCATTAATATCTAGAAGTATGTAATAAACTGCAAACCGATTTTTCTTCTGCGTTTCCTTCAATTAAAGTCTCGAGGAAGTTTTTTATCTCATCAGAAATATTATTTATTTCGATCTCAAATGTGAGTTGATTGGAGGCATAACTCAAAGTAGAACCACTTATAATAATACCCTGTAATTTTATTTTTAAACAATATACAAAGTAAAAAATATGATGATACATAGCATTTTATTTTGTTATTATTATTTGTCTTTTTTGTAAAAAGATCAAGGTGGTTAACCGAAATTCATGGGCAAGAAACCTAATTGAATCAAAGGACCGAGAATTTCTTTGTTTTATTCTGTTTGGATGGTTCTTAATCTAAAAGACTTCCTGACTACTAGAAGCTCTGCATTTGATTTAAAATTTCAGTTTCGAAGGATTTAAATTCAGAGTTTGTGAATTCAGGAAAAGCAAAAAATTCCATTCTACTCAAATTTAGATCTAACAATAAATCTTATTAATCTTATTTAAATTTAACAGAAATATTAAATTCTTTTTCAGGGATCCTGGAATTTAAAAAAATTCTATACTAAAAATAATTTTTTTCTTACTTTCATTCCAAGTTCAACCATTTGTTTTGCATAGAATTGCCCAGGACCAACGGAATTAGTGTTTCTCAAAACAACAAAACCTATTCCGTAAATACGCGCCAACTCC